CTAGGGCTTCACATGTATTCAGGTGTCATTTAGGTCTCAACCACAACCCTGCAAGGTAGGGACTGTGGCTCTCTGTTTTGCAGATGAAGAAACCTGTGGCTCAGAGAATGATGTGATATGCCTAAGTTAAAATAGCCTGTAAGTGGGGGAGCCAGACAGAATTCCAACCCAGAGCTCTGGGGCTCTGTAGCCGTGTGCTTCCCCTTGTGGCTTGCTGCCTACATGTATGGACAGACATGCACACTTACTATGCCTTGAGGGGCAGATATGAACAAAGACCTGGGAATATGGAGGTGGCAGTGATGACCGTCATCTGAAAGTTATGGAAGAGCTCCTGGGGGGGAGGTTCTATTTGAGCGAGAGTCTGAAGAGTGGGTAGGGGTTCACCTCTGAGGGAGACGGGCTGGATTGTATATGGGAGACAATGTAAGTAAGCACGGAATGCTTACTGGGCTTGGGGATGGTGGGAGCAGGTGGTGTGCCTGGAACGTGGTACATGCTTGAAACTAGAAAGATAGGTCACAGCTGGTTAGGAAGTGTTTTGAATGCTACACTCAGGAGTTGGGGTGAACAGTGTCAGAGTCAGGGTAAAATCATTGATCAGATTTGCTGCCTAGAAGCCAGGTGTGGTGGCCCATGCCTGTAATCCCAGCACTTTGGGAGGCTGAGGCTGGAGGATCACCTGAGGTCAGGAGTTTGAGGCCAGCCTGGTCAACATGGCGAAACCCTGACTCTACTAAAAATACAAGAAATTAGCTGGGTGTGGTGGCTTATGCCTGTAGTCCCAGCTACTTGAGAGGCTGAGACAGGAGAATCACTTGAACCCAGGAGGCAGAGGTTGCAGTGAGCCGAGATCATGCCATAGTCTAGCTGGGTGACAGAATGAGACTCTGTTAAAAAAAAAAAAAAAAAAAGCCGGGCGCGGTGGCTCACGCCTGTAATCCCAGCACTTTGGGAGGCCGAGATGGGCGGATCACGAGGTCAGGAGATCGAGACCATCCTGGCTAACACGGTGAAACCCCTCTCTACTAAAAATACAAAAATTAGCCAGGCGCGGTGGCGGGTGCCTGTAGTCCCAGCTGCTGGGGAGGCTGAGGCAGGAGAATGGCGTGAACCCGGGAGGCGGAGCTTGCAGTGAGTGGAGATTGCACCACCGCACTCCAGCCTGGGCGACAGAGTGAGACTCCGTCTCAAAAAACAAACAAACAAACAAACAAACAAACAAAAAAAAACTTGCTGCCTAGAAAGATGACTGGTGCCAGTGTTGGGAGGTGGATGGGAAGAGAAGGCCGAACTCTGGTCTCAGTTAGTGGTGGTCATTGTACTTGTCCCAGCAAAAGACTAGAGTTCGAGGCGAGCAGGGGTGTGGGAGAGGAGGCTTATATGTAGGTGATGGATCCCAGGAATAATTAACTGGAGGGACAGTAGAATGCATAGGAGGAAGAGGGAAGAGCTGAAGGTGGTACTGAGATTTCTAATTTGGGACCTGGGTGGGTGGTGAGAGCTTTCACGTGCTCCTGTGTTGGGCTCCATGGAGGCAGGGACCCTCAGGGTGTTCACCGTGTATCCACAGTGCTGTATCCACAGTGCCTGGCACTCAGTCAATGTGTGTAGACCCTTGGCAAATGAATGAAAGGTCACAGGAGGATGAGCACATTTGCTCTTTAGTTGGGGCTAAGGTGGGGAGAGTGAGCAATTCAATCTCTTGTCTCTTGTCTTTTTGAACTAAAGTCTTCTCAACTTCCCAGGGCCCAAAGCAATGTGTCTCAGTGAGCAGCACTGCCTGCCTGCCACTCAGGCCATCTAATTGTCCACGTTTGGAGTCTTAGGGGAGGCAGCCTTTGATGGCCTGAGCTTTGGTGACCTGACACATTGTGCTAAGTATCTGTATGAGTCTCACAGAGGGGTGATGAAAGGAAGCATCATGAGGCCTAGAGGGGTGGGGAAGGCTTTTGGGGGGATCTGAGAAGGATGAGTAGAAGGGGGAAGTGAGGGAGAACCCCCAGTGGAGGGATCTGTTTGAGCATTGGTGTGTTGGTAGCAAGGCCAGGGGTGGGGCAGGTGAGCTTATCTGACCCAGATGGGACATCTGGACTGGTCAGGACCAGGTCAAATTAAGGAAGATGGAGCTGGATTCCTTGGGGTCTTTTTTTTTTTTGAGAAGGAGTCTTGCTCTGTTGCCCAGGCTGGAATGCAGTGGCACAATCTCAGCTCACTGCAACCTCCACCTCCTGGGTTCAAGTGATTCTCCTGCCTCAGCCTCCTGAGTAGCGGGGACTACAGGCACACGCCACCACACCCGGCTAATGTTTTTGTATTTTTAGTAGAGATGGGTTTCTACCATGTTGGTCAGGCTAGTCTCAAACTCCTGACCTCAAATGATCTGCCCTCCTCGGCTTCCCAAAGTGCTGGGATTACAGGCGTGAGCCACCGCGCCCAGCCCCCTGGGGTCCTGAATTCTGACCACTGAAGATTTGAAGTGATATAGTTACTGAACTGAGGTCCCTTATAAATGAACACCCTGTTATGTGTAAGGTAGGACTTGGCTGTATCCTCCTTGAGCCTCACGTGTGGCATCTGTAAAAGGGGAGCAATGGTTCCCTCTCCAAAGTCAGGAGAGTCTAGATTTTTCTTTATCTTCTTAGGTCTAAAAATGGTTAAGAATTATGTGTTTCTCCATGGAATACTATGCAGCCATAAAAAAGGATAAGTTCATGTCCTTTGTAGGGACATGGATGAAGCCGGAAACCATCATTCTGAGCAAACTACTGCAAGGACAGAAAACCAAACACCGCATGTTCTCACTCATAGGTGGGAACTGAACAATGAGATCACATGGACACAGGGCAGGGAACATCACACACCAGGGCCTGTCGTGAGGTGGGGGGAAGGGGGAGGGATAGCATTAGGATATATACCTAATCTAAATGATGAGTTAATGGGTGCAGCACACCAACATGGCACATGTATACCTATGTAACAAACCTGCACGTTGTGGACATGTAACCTAGAACTTAAAGTATAATAATAATAAAAAAGAATTATGTGTTTCTGTCAGTAACATCATAACACTACTTACCTTGTTCTTTCTCAAAGAGTCTCTCTTTAAATCATGTGCTGAAAATGTTTGGCTCAGGAAATTGAAACACTCAGTCCCTGGTTCTTATTATATTCGTTCCAGCTGTCTGTCCCACATGGCTTCCAGAACAAGGAGGCTGTTAGCTCCCCAACACCATCCATCACCCTTAGCCAGGTGCCCGACCTCCAGCCTGGGTCCCAGCTGTTTACTGAGATACACCTGGCCAAGATAGAGAAAATGTTTGAGGAGGACATCAACTCGACTGGAGGTAAGGCCTCTCTGTAGGCTCGGTTTTTGTGTGAGTTCTGCAACAGGGCAGGACCCAGTACCTGGGGTGTGTGGAGGGTTCAGACATGATAAGCATTTTGTTTTTGTTTTTGAGATAGGATATTGCTCTGTCGCCCAGGCTGGAGTGCAGTGTTATGATCACCACAGCAGCCTCCACCTCCCATGCTCAAGCGATTCTTCCGTCTCAGCTCCCAGAGTAGCTGGGACTACAGGCACATGCCACCACTCCTGGCTAATTAATTTTTTTTTTTTTTTTTTTAGAAACAAGGGCTTGCTGTTAGGTTGGTGAAAAGTAATTGCAGTTTTGCTATTAAAAGTAATGGCAGAAATCGCAATTGCTTTTGCACCAACCTAATAAGTGGTCCAGGCTCGTCTGGAACTACTGGGCTCAAGTGATCCTCCTACCTTGGCCCCCGGAGTAGCTGAAACTACAGGCACATGCCACCATGTCTGGCTAATTAAAAAAATAATAATTGTAGAGACAAGGTCTTGCTACGTTGCCCAGGCTGGTCTCAAAGTCCTGGACTCAAGCAGTGCCTCCTGCCTTGGCCTCCCAAAGTGCTGGGATTACAGGTGTGAGCCACCATGCCCAGCCCTGATCAGCATCTTTGCATCTAGTTTCTCCTGTAAAACTTTCAAGCATTATGTAGGTATTGCAAGCATATTGGAGGCTATTTGGGATCTAGAAAATTTTAAAAAATATCCCTAGTCCAAATACCCAAATGTAACCACTGTTAGCATTGCGATGTATGTATTTTCTTCCAGTTTCATATGTATGGTTTATTGTCTATTGCTGTGTGACAGTACCAAAATCTTAGTGGCTTAAACCAATGCACGTTTATCACTTCACAGTTCTGTTGGGGCAGGAGTCTGGACATGGCTTAGCTGGCTTCTCTGTTCAGGCTCTCATAAGGCTGCAATCAAGTTGTTGGCTGGGGCCGGGTACAATGGCTCACGCCTCTAATCCCAGCACTTTGAGAGGCCAAGGTGGGCAGATCACTTAAGGTCAGAAGTTCAAGAGCAGCCTGGCCAACATGGTGAAACCCTGTCTCTACTAAAAATACAAAAATTAGCTGGGCGTGGTGGCACGGGCCTCTAATTCCAGCTACTTGGGAGGCTGAGGCAAGAGAATTGCTTGAACCTGGGAAGCAGAGGTTGCAGTGAGCCAAGATCATGCCACTATACTCCAGTCTAGACCACAGAGTGAGACTCCGTCTAAAAAAAAAAAAAAAAGTTGTCGGCTGGGGCTGTGGAATCGTCTCAGGCTTGACTGGGGAAGGACCCACTTCCAAACTCACTCAGGTTGTTGGCAGAATTCAATTCCTTGCCGCTGTATGACTGAGGGCTTCTGTTTCTTCCTGACTGTTGGCAGGAGGCTACCTTCAGCTTCTAGAGGCTGCCCACAGTTCCTGGCCATGCAGGATTCGCCAGCAGAGCTGCTTGCAAGGCTCAAGCCAACAACAGGGAGAAAAACTCCAGCAAGATGGGTGTTGCAATCTCTTTTTTTTTTTTTTTTGAGATGGTGTTTCGTTCTTGTTGCCCAAGCTGGAGTACAATGGCATGATCTTGGCTCACCGCAACCTCCGCCTCTGGTTCAAACGATTCTCCTGCCTCAGCCTCCCAAGTAGCTGGGATTACTGGTATGTGCCACCACGCCCAGCTATGTTTTGTATTTTTGGTAAAGACAGGGTTTCTGCATGTTGGTCAGGCTGGTCTCGAACTCCCGACCTCAGGTGATCCGCCCGCCTCGGCCTCCCAAAGTGCTAGGATTATAGGCGTGAGCCGCCGCACCCGGCCGGGTGTTGTAATCTTATATAACAAATCATGTAATCACATGCACATAGTCCTGCACACCCTGTCACCTGTGCCATATTCTGTTGGTTAGAAGCAAGTCACAGGTCCCATTACATTTCAGGGGAGGGGATCAAAGGAGGGATTGAGCACCAGGAGGCACACAGTATGGGGGCTGCTTAAGTCTCTCTACCACAGATGGCTCTGCGTGTTTCATATGTCTTTAATCATACTATATGTGTAATTTCAGACTATTTTTCACTTAATGCTAATATCCTAAGGAATTTTCCATATTGCTACATAATCTTCCAAGTCATCATTACTAATGGAGGCAGTTGTTTCACTGGCTAAGCTATTCCCCTATTTTCAGACATGTAGGTTTTATTGAGTTTAATGTAAAGATATCCTTTGTGCATCAAGCCTTTTTTCTGTTTAGAGCTTGATTTTTCCCCTGAGATAATACTCCTGTAAGTCAAATAATAGGAATACTTAAAGGCATCTTTCTTCATATCCACTAGACCATGCCAGGGTCCTATTTACCTGCCCTGTGAATTTTTTTTTAGATTTACAACCACACTGTGATGTGGGCAGGAAAAGATAAGAAATCTCAGTTTACAAATAAGTGAAGTGAGACCTAGGAGGGACAATTTGTGTCTGGTCTGAAGATAGGGGGGTTCCTGGGTGGTGGTCTTCAATATCATTGTTTGCAGCCAGGAATTGCCACCACTGTGTTTGGGAGGACCCTGCTGGTACTGACTTTGGCCATCGTTTTTATTGTGTTTGTGTTTGTTTTGAATAGGTAATATATCCACACAGTTCAATATACCCAAACGGTTCAAGATCCAAAAGGTACTTTTTTCATGGTACCTTTTAGATACACAGAGAAAATGTCTTTCTCCCCCACCACCCATGTGCCCAGGTATATCCCTTTAAGTGATTACTGTTTTCTGTTTCCTGTGATCTTTATTTTTAATTTTTTAGGGACAGTGTCTCGCTTGGTTGCCCAGGCTGGAGTGGAGTGGTGTGATCATAACTCACTGCAGCCTTGAACTCCTGGGCTCAAGTGACCCTCCTGCCTCAGACTCTGGAGTAACTGGGATTAGAGGCATGTGCCACAATGCCTGGGTAATTTTTAAAAACTTTTTGGTAGAGATAGGGTCTTGCTATGTTGCCCAGGCTGGTCTTAAACTCTTGGCTTCAAGCAATCCTTCTGCCTCTGCCTCCCAAAGTGTTGGGATTACAAGCGTGAGCCAATGTACCCAACCTCCAGTGACCTTTAGAAATACAGAAGTACCTTTAGTCATTTCTCTCTACTTCTTTTTTTTTTTTTTTTTTTCCTGAAATGGAGTCTCACTCTGTCACCAAGGCTAGAGTACAGTGGCACGATCTCGGCTTACTGCAGCCCAGGTTCAAGTGATTCTCCTGTCTCAGCCTCCTGAGTAGCTGGGACTACAGGCACGCACCACCGGCTAATTTTTGTATTTTCAGTAGAGACAGGGTTTCACCGTGTTGGTCAGGCTGGTCTTGAACTCCTGACCTCAGGTGATCCACCTGTCTTGGCCTCCCAGAGTGCTGGGATTACAGGTGTGAGCCATCGCGCCCAGCCCTCTCTACTTCTTTTAAATGTTAGTGTCTAGTCGTCAGTTTCCTCCCTTTTTTATATGAAGTGGCACCCTACTGTTCACACTGTTCTACTCTTTGCTTTTTATTTTTTAAAATTTTTATTGTTTTTTTTTTCTTTTTTTATGAGCCAAAGATTTATTTATTCATTCCTTGCATTTGAAGTACTCTTCGATAACATCCTTGGCCTGAGACTCCTTTCCATAGTCCTTAACTACTACACAACTGCAACCAACCACTTTACGGGGTTTTCCCTCTCTGTCAATTTTACAGAGGCCTACCCATTCTCCTAATTTCTTGTTGTCATCAACCTTAATTAGGTTGATCTGGTGTTCAGCACAAAGGGCCTCCACCAACTTAACATACATAGGCTCATCACAGTTGGATGCAAGCACACAAAGATGGGCTTGGCGCCTTTTCCTAGGTTTCCTGTAGGATGGATGCCATTCAGAACTTTTGCGCTAACACCATGAACTCCACGCCTTCTTCCCTTGGGTGACAGTTTTGTTCCGGTTGCAAGAACCCACAGTATTGAGACTGATACACGTACTTGTCTAAGGCTTTGGCAGCTTCGCGAATTCCACGTGCTAGGCCATCGTGGATGAGGGCGGTCTTCAGCACCTCTTGTAAGGCAGTATTAATGTCTATTACACCTCCAGCAGCAATGCCTTCCTCGGCCATGGCGGTGGGTTACGGGTGAAGCGGAATGTTGAACGCACCGAAGCCTCCGCCTCTGCACGACTCTGCGGCGGCAGGGAAAGAGCTACATTTTTATTCTTCTAAATTTCTTTTAGATATAGACTTTTGCTTTGTGGCCCAGGCTGGCGTGTAGTGGTGTGATGATAGTTCACTGAAGCCTCGACCTCCTGGGCTCAAGCAATCCTCCTGACTCAGCCTCCAGAGTAGCTAGGACTACAGGTGCATGCTACCACATCCAGCTACTTTTTTCATTTTTATTTTTTGTAGAGATGGTGTCTTGCTATGCTGTATTCCTTGCTTTTTTAAAAAATTAATTTTAACAAGTTTTACCTCTTGCTTTTTACTGAATGTATCTTGCAGATATTTTCATATCAATGTAAAAAACCCTTTCTCATTTTAAAAAAACAACTGTGACTTTAAATGGTAGAAAGGAAAATTCACCTTTTGTTGATGTAGGATAAAGGAAAATAGGATAATTTTTCTCTTTCAAAAGTCTTTTAAGGAGGTGGATTATGAGTACGGGCTCCATAACGTGTCTTAGGCACCCCAACTGTCAGTGTGTGCCTTGGAGGGAAGAGGGGACACGCTAGTGTCCTTCTTCCTGTTCTGTAAGTTCCCTTTTCCTAGCTTCAGTCCAGGTTGAATCCAGATCTTTGAGGGAAGTCAGTAGTTCTTAAAGAGGAAGGAGTGCCTTTCAGTCTCCCCAGAAGGTTTTGAAAGCACATAGAGGCAGTTTGACTCCCAACTCTGTCTGGAAGGAGGCTACAGGGCTCATGGCCTGTCCCCTGACATCTGTCTTCTACCTGGAAGGACCATTAAGTGCTTAAGCACCTTGGCTGTAACTCCAGATAAGCAAGATGGGTCCCTCTTTTAGCAAGGCGTGATTTCGTCAGGCTTTCCATTTATTCCTTGATCCAGCAACAAAGATAATAATAATTACTGTTGTATCATTGTGCTGGGTGTTTTATAAGGAGCATAGAATGGGGTTAAGAGCATGAGTTCTGGAGCCAGATTGCTGGGGTTAGTATCTGGTGCTACCACTTACCAGCTGTGTGACCTTGGGCAAGCGACCACACCTCTCTTTGACACATTTACTTCCTTATATAGGTAGTCCGTGTGCATAAGGCACAGAGAACAATGCCTGGCATGAAGTGCCATCGCTAGCACATCTTAGTGCAGTGCCCACAGAAACCCTCAGGGGACCAGTGTTTGTTGAAGCCAGGACCCAGCCCTGGGGAAACAGGCTCATCATCTCTGCCATCCCAGAGCTCTCAGGCTGGAGTGGGAGATAGAAGACAGACAGACAACAGTGAAAGCGAGCTGGGCGCGGTGGCTCACGCCTGTAATCCCAGCACTTTGGGATCCCAGCGAGCTGAGGCAGGTGGATCGAGAGGTCAGGGGTTCAAGACCAGCCTGGCCAACATGGCGAAACCCTGTCTCTACTAAAAATACATAAATTAGCTGGGCATGGTGGCGGATGCCCATAGTTCTACTTACTTGGGAGGCTGAGGCAGGAGAATCGCTTGAACCCAGGAGGTGGAGGTTGTAGTAAGCCAAGATCGTGTCACTGCATTCCAGCCTGGGCAACAGAGCGAGACTCCGTCTCAAAAACAAAAACAAGGCCGGGCGCAGTGGCTCATGCCTGTAATCCCAGCACTTTGGGAGGCCAAGGTGGGCGGATCGTCTGTGGTCAGGAGTTCGAGACCAGCCTGGCCAACATGGCGAAACCCCATCTCTACTAAAAATACAAAAATTAGCTGGGTGTGGTGGTGCACACCTGGAGTCCCAGCTACTCGGCAGGCCAAGGCAGGGAGAATTGCTTGAACCCAGGAGGTGGAGGTTGCAGTGAGCCGGGATCATGCCATTGCACTCCAGCCTGGGCAACAAGAGTAAAACTCCATCTCAAAAAACAAAACAAAACAAAGCAAAACAAAACAAAAAAACACCACTAAAAACAAAAACAAAACACAAAACAATGAAAGCGAGTGTGTCAGCTGATAAAGAATGTCAGCAAGAACCATGGAGCTGGGCAATGGTGTGGGTGGCCTCCTTAGATAGACCCTAGGAAGGCTTCCCTATGGAAGGAGTCCCCTGAATTCTGAGGATGTTGGCCAGGATGGTCTCAATCTCTTGACCTCGTGATCTGCCTGCCTCGGCCTCCCAAAGTGCTGGGATTACAGTTGTGAGCCACTGTGCCCAGCCCAGAAGCACTTTTTAAAGACTGTGATTATTTAAAAAAAAAAAAGCTGTAGACGGGGTTATTGACCCATTTGCAGACAGATCCTCTTATAGACCTAGCATGTGGAGAATTTTCTATCCTTGCCTGCTCCTCCTTTCTTCTCCCCATCTTTTCCTTCAGTCAAAGTTTATATTTTGATAATTACTTTTAAATGATACAGTTTGGCCAGGCGTGGTGGGCTCACGCCTGTAATCCCAGCACTTTGGGAGGCTAAAGAGGGTGGATCACTTGAGGTCAGGAGTTTGAGAGCAGCCTGGCCAACATGGTGAAACCTCATCTCTACTAAAAATACAAAAATTAGCCAGAAATCGCTTGAACCCAGGAGGCAGAGGTTGCAATGAGCTGAGATTGTGCCACTGTACTCCAACTTGGGCAACAAAGTGAGGATCGTGTCTAAAAAAAAAAAAAAAAGAAAAAAAAAGATGCAGTTACCTCTCTTTCCTAATGTCGAATTTAAGGCTCTATTGTGTTGCCCATTGTATTATATACTCTTTTGTGCGTTTTCCATTTTGTTTATATTTATTATTGGGACTGGGTCTCACTCTATTATCCAGGCTGGAGTGCTCCAGTGGTGAAATTCTGTCATGCACCTCACTCGGTCTAGCAATGCCTCCAGCTCAACTCCCAGTAGTTGGGTGGCATAAGGCCATGTGCCCACCTTATGCGTGGCTGATTTTTTGTATTTTTTGTGAGATTCTGGCTGCGTTTCTGTGAGATGGGTTTCACCGTGCTGTTGCGGCGCTGGTTCAAATCCTGGGTCAGCCTCTGTCCCACCTCGCTGCGCAAAGGTATTGGGAATTTATAAGTGTGGAACCTTGTATCGGCCTTCATGTTTATTTCTTTTTTTTTAGACAGTGGTTGTCTCCTTACTAGGCTGGAGGTCACGTGGCGAGGATTCATGGGCTAATTGCTTGCTCTAGGGTTTCAAGCCATCTTCACCCTCAGTCTCGCCGACCCCGTGGGAGGTTACATGGTCTGTACGCCGACGGGTAGTTAAAAAATTATTTTGTAGATTGGGTCTCCTTATGTTTCCCAGCTGGTCTCAGAGACTCTGATTCAGTGATCTCGTACCTCAGCCTTCGCGAGCACTGGGATATAGCATGACACCCTGGTGATGGCCTGGCTGTCTACTTTTTTCTTTTCTTTCCTTTTTTTTCTTTTGAGGGTCCCTCCGTCGCTCAGGTGGAGTGCAGTGGCGCTAATCTCTTGGCTTACTGCAACCTCTGCCTCCCGTTCCAATGGTGATTTTATGTGCTCAGCATGCCGAGGATAGCTGGGGATACAGGACATGCCCAAAAAACCTGGCTAATTTGTTGTTTTTTTGTTTTTTACACTAATATTTAAACTAGTATTATTTTTTTTGTTCTGTGTGAGACAGAATCTGGCGGTATGTGGGGGTGTCGTATTGTGTGGGTCTTGGCTTGTGTGTCTTCCTGGATTCAGAGTGATTGCTCCTGCTCACCTCCCAGAAAGTCAGTGGGGGGTTGTGTGTGTATGTGCCACTGCCTTGTGTGTGTTTTTGTTTGTGTGTTGTATTTTGCCATGTTGGCCAGGCTGGTCTTGAACTCCTAGCCCCAGGTATCTTCCCACCTCTGCCTCTCAAAGTGTTGGGATTACAGGCATGAGCCACCGTGCCTGGCCTGGTTCTCCTTTTCTTTGCAGAGTTATCTTTGTCTCAATCCTTCGTCTTTGTTAATTGTATGGAAATGGGAATTGATCTTTTTTAGTGCCTCCCTTCCCTGCACTGCTGTGGGACCAGCACAGTGCTCCCATATGGTGCATGTTCAGCCAGGATTTGTGGGGTGGTTGAATGTTGAGCAGATAAGATGCAAAAGATAACCATGTGAGGACAGAAGCTTCCAGAATTGGCCTAGGCTGGGGTGGCTGGGGTGGATGCTGAGATGTGAGGAAGGGAGACAGGTCCAAGAGAGGGGCTGGATTTGAGTTTTGAGGGGCTGGAGGAGGCAGCCTTCTAAGGGCCCCGTATCTGGCTGGAGCCATCTCCCTTCTGTGCCCCCTGCAGTGGCCCAGCTGAGGACGGTAGGGGTGGCAGCACCAAGACTGCCTTCAACCGAGCGCACCTGGTAAACATGGTGTTGTTTTTTTTTTTTGGAGACAGAGTTTTCGCTCTTGTTGCCCAAGCTGGAGTGCAGTGGCGCGAACCTAGCTCACTGCAACCTCCGCCTCCCGAGTTCAAGGGATTCTCCTGCCTCAGCCTCCCGAGCAGCTGGGATTACAGGCACCCGCCACCATGCCCAGCCAATTTATTTTTGTATTTTTAGTAGAGACAGGTTTTCACCATATTGGTCAGGCTGGTCTTGAACTCCTGACCTCAAGTGATCCACCCGCCTCAGTCTCCCAAAGTGCTGGAATTATAAGCGTGAGCCACCATGCCTGGCTGTAAATGTGGTCTTCAGTGTGTGCCTCTCAGCACTGAGACACTCGAGAACTCCGTGGCAGTGATGGGCCGAGGGACTTGTGAGGAAGGGGATGATGCTCTCTCTTCTCTCTTTGAAGCCCTGGGCATGGACGCCTTCATCAAGGCCATGAAGAAGGTTCTAAGCAGTGTGTCGAATGAGATGCTAAAGGAGCTGTTTTTGAAGGTGGACTCAGACTGTGAAGGCTTTGTCACCTGGGTGAGAAGGGTGCCCCTGCTTCCTCAGGTGCTGGAGGGAGGCTGGAGGGTCCAGTCCTTGACCAGTTGGTGGGCTGAAGATGGGAGGCCATCATGATGTAGGAAAGCCTCCCTGTGGATTCCGGCCCCAGCCGGGGGACTTGCCTGGTGGAGAGGTCCCGCCTAAGACCTGTGTGAGCTGAGTTCCTGGCAGCTCATTCCCCAGGGACAAGTGTCATTGGCCCCTATGTGAGACCTACTGAGTTGCAGCAGTGACCCTACCTGCCACGCGGCTGTGCTGCCCACCAGCCTCCCATTTGACTTGAGGGATTCAAGCTGGTACCACGACCATCTCATGACCCTTCACTGTCACTCAGGAAGAGGCCAACTTGTGGCTGTTACAGCCAAAAATGTCAGGCTTTTACAGCAGCGTAATAATAATGCTTTCATGTTTTTTTGGTTCTAAACGTTCGACAATGGGAATATATAGCTTTTTTTTTTTGAGATGGAGTCTCGCTCACCATTCTCCTGCCTCGGCCTCCTAAGTAGCTGGGACTACAGGCGCCGGCAACCGCGTCCGGCTAATTTTTTGTATTTTTAGTAGAGACGGGGTTTCACCGTGGTCTCGATCTTCTGACCTTGTGATCCGCCCGCCTCGGCCTCCCAAAGTGCTGGGATTACAGGCGTGAGCCACCGTGCCCGGCCTATATAGCTTTTTAAGCATACAGAAAAGTACCAAGGATAGTCTGACAAATTGATGTAGCAAAGATGACAATGATAACTAGCATTTACACCAAGCACTGTGCTAAGCTCCCTATGTATTATTTTACTGAAACCTCATAGGAGCTATTACTTACCTCTATTTTGGCCGGGCGCAGTGGCTCATACCTGTAATCCCAGCACTTTGGGAGGCCGAGGTGGGTGGATCGCTTGAGCTCAGGAGTTCATGACCAGCCTGGGTAACATGGTAAAACCCTGTCTCTACAAAAAATACCAAAAATTAGCCGGGTGTCGTGGTGCACGCCTATAGTCCCAGCTACTTGGGGAGCTGAGCTGGGAGGATCGTTTGAGCCTGGGAGATTGAGGTTGCAGTAAGCTGAGATTGCACCACTGTACTCCAGCCTGGGTGACAAAGTGAGACCATGTCTCAGGAAAAAAAAAAACAAATTTACCTCCATTTGACAGATTGGGAAATTGAGGTATGGGAAAGTTAAGAGTTTGCCCAAGGCTTCAGACTCATCAGCACTAGAGCCAGTGTTCAAACCAGGGAGCGTGCCTTGAGAGTCCTGGTGTTAATTGCCGTCTCATAGCTCTCCTCAGCGTAGGTATACATTATAGGTTTTATTCTTCTTAATTTTCTTGTTTTTATTTCTCTCTCTCTCTTTTTTTTTTTTTTTTTTGGAGACAGAATCTTGCTCTGTCGCCCAGGCTGGAGTGCAATGGCACGACCTTGGCTCACTGCAACTTCTGCCTCCCGGGTTCAAGCAATTCTCCTGCCTTGGCCTCCCGAGTAGTTGGGATTACAGGTGCCCGCCACCACGCCTGGCTAATTTTTGTATTTTTAGTAGAGACAGGGTTTCACCATGTTGGCCAAGCTGGTCTCGAACTCCTGACCTCAGGTAATCCACCCTCCTTGGCCTCCCAAAGTGTTGGGATTACCAGTGTGAGCCACCACACTTGGCTGTTTTTATTTCTCTTAATGTTCTGTAATAAACATTTCCTTTAGAACTAATGAGACCAACTAAAAGAAAAAGAATAAAAAGTAATTTAACCCCCTCACATTCCCGGCATTCTCAGGGCTTTACCCAGTTGTCCTTCTCTACAACCCCCCATTTCTCGTTATAGCTTCATATGGTGGCTGCTTTGGGCCTTGGCCATGTTTTCCAGCAGCTGGGCAGCAGAATGGAGTCTGGAGTTGTGCCAGTGGCCCTGGTTGTGGGTGCTCCCTGCTGTTAACTTGATGTTTGAGCATGAGCATCGCATATCCTTACAGGGGCCTGAGTCTTATTACCCACAGGGGAGAGTGAATTAAGAGCTCCCAGGGCAATGGCAGTTGTGGAGGTGATCTGAGGATGCACTTAGCGCTTCAGGACGGCTAGGGAGGCGCTGCTGCGCTCTTTCCATGAATGCTGCGAGTAGGCTCTTCCCATACTCAGGATTCAAGAACAGGTCTGCTGTCCAGGCGTGGTGGCTCACACCTTTAATCCCAGAACTTTGGCAGAGCACTTGAGCCCAGGAGTTCAAGACCAGCCTGGGCAACATGGTGAAACCCCGTCTCTACAAAAAATACAGTAATTAGCTGGGAATTGTGGCATGCATCTGTGGTCCCAGCTACTCAGGAGGCTGAGGTGGGAGGATCACTTGAGCCTGGGAGATTGAGGCTGCAGTAGGCTGTGATCACACCATTGCACTCCAGCCTGGGTGACAGAGCAAGACCCTGTCCCAAAAGAGAGAGAGAGAGAGAAAAAAAAAAAAGGCCAGGTATGGTGGCTCATGCTTATAATCCCAGCACTTTGGGAGGCTGAGTAGTGAACTGTGATCACACCACTGCACTCCAGCCTGAGTGACAAACTAACAGAGAAAGAGCAGGTCTGTTGCTTGGCCACCTGCCTTGGCCAGTACTTAGGAAGCAGCCACCAGAAAGCTCCCCGTTGGAAGGGCCTGGGAGAGATGAGGTGGCAGGGGGGACCCTGGGAATCAGGCTTGGGTTCTTGAAACCGAAGGCCGAGACCATTTTGCCAACACCCTGCCTCCCTTGTGCTTTCTTTCTGAGGCAGCAAAAGTATGTGGATTACATGATGCGTGAGTTCCAGGGAAAAGAGGACATGCAAAAGAGCCAGTACCGCCTGCACTTCTACCTTCCCATGAGGGTCGTCCCCCTGTAAGGAGCCTCTTCCTGGGCCTTGGTGGGTGGGGTGACTGGACAAGTGCTGGTGCCAGCCTGCAGCAAGCCCCTCCCTCAATCCATGACCTCGCTGGTGCTGACCAGGGATTGGCATCAGCCTGCTGCCTGATGTCCTTTGGCTCATTTCAACCTCACAGCCCTGTAAGTGTTAGGACTAAGGTAGGTGATTTGTCCACATTTTATAGATGAGGCCACTGAGGTCTGGAGAGGTCAAATGGCTGGCTCCAGGCCAATAGGTAGAAAGTGGCGGGGCTGCTGTGTTTGGCCCTCTCAGCCCCCATTCTCTAGTATACAGCATTGCTTCACCTGCTTCCTGTGCTGGTCAGTGCGGAGTGGGTCCGGCAGTTTCATCATAGGGGCACAGGTGGCACAGTTGGCCAGCACAGGGAGGAATAGGAGTCTCTTCCCAGGCGACAGGGAGGGAATTGCTCCTCAAGCCCCCAGTCAGGCCCTGGAGGCCTCAGTGTGGCTGGCCGTGGGAGCAGGTCCCTCTGTTACTCCTGGAGCTGGTGGTACTGCCCTGCCTTGGCTTCTGCCTGACCCCCCTGCTGACTCCTCCTCCTCGTGGCTCCTCCACCCACTGTGCCCACTGCACCCTGGCTTTGCAGGGGAGGAAAACTGTCTTTTCCTTCTACCCATCTGAGGTTCATTGGCAGGGACCTCTGTAAGAGAAGATAGAGTCACAAGGATGAGCATACAAGTTTATTTAATATAAGTTTTACATGACATGGGAAACTCCATAGGAAATGAAGACCCTAAGAAATAGATAACCTGAGGCTTTTCATGCTAGGTTCAATGGAGGGTGGAAAGCTGTGAAAAAATAAGATAGGACAGAGGGGCCATGAGCCAAGGATAATACATGGCGGAAACAGCAAGGCAGTTAGTTCAGATTCTTGTCCCTGTCCCTGTGTCTTTGGGTACCCCTCACATGAGTCTTATGACCGGCTTCAGGGGAAGGTCAAACGGTCCTTCCTGAACATACTGCTTCTCAAATTCCTTCAGTTTAACAGACTCAGTATGCTGCGGTGCCCTATTTAGGGGTAGCATGTCTCAAACCCCCTCAACCTCTTCTGTCTGTGCCAGGGCTCAATCTGCCCCACTGTGTGTTCCTCCCCCGGACTCCCTAAGCATGAGGAGCACTGTGGGGGCTCTGACCTGCTGGATCCGGGCCACCCAGGTCACTGGCTCCCTTCCTGCAGTCTGCCCTGGAGCACTGCTGCCTGGGGCAGGTGGCCCGGTGGGGAGCTGGGTCCTGAGGTATAAGGTGTGGCAGCCTACATTTGTGACCAGGTCAGGAGTGAGCTGTGGGTGGGTCTGTACTAAGAGGACCAGACCTAGACCAGGCCACAGGGAAGACCAAGAGCTGGAAGGCAGCCCCGGCCCTCAGGCAGCCTGGGGTTTAATAGAGAAGGCGGCTTGAATGAAAGTCACCACAGGGTAACTTTTTTTTTTTTTTTTTTTTTTGAGACAGAGTCTTGCTCTGTCACCCAGGCTGGAGTGCAATGGCGTGATCTTGGCTCACTGCAACCTCCGCCTCCCGGGTTCAAGCGATTCTCCCACCTCAGCCTCCTAAGTAGCTGGGATTACAAGTGCCCGCCACCATGCCTGGCTAATTTTTTTGTATTTTTAGTAGAGATGGGGTTTCACCGTGTTGGCCGGGCTGGTTGCGAACTTGTGACCTCAAGTAATCTGCCTACCTTGGCCTCTCCCTTTGCGTGGATGATAGGTGTGAGCCACTGAACCCAGCAATAACTTAAAATTTTGATTGGGATTTAATTGAGAAATAACCAATAAATATGAATGATGAGAGATTTCATAACTGTATTTTTTTTTTAACATTTACTGGTTTATTATAAAGAATATTGCGAAGAATACTGATGAACAGATGTGTAGGGCGAGATATGGAGAGAGGGACGCACAAGCTTCAGGACTCTCCGTGTGTTCAGCCAAGGGAAGCTCTCGGAACCCAGTCCTCCGGGTTTTTAGTGGAAGCTTCATGACATCAGCATTCCTTCCCCCAGGGCATAGGGCAGGACTCTCTCTGGGGCTGTGGGAGTTATGAGCCAGGGACTATCGACAAAAACATATATATATAAAATACCACAGGTCCCCACTCCTGGTTTTTGAACACAGAGAACACAGCTCCCTTATAGCAAAAGAATACACAACTCAAAAGATACTGCCACATTACTAGAGTCCCATTCAGTCATTAATAATTCATCCTGTCTGTCATACTATATGGCTCCCAAGCTGAGGCCACTCAGGTTTGCAGGCTTCCTTTCAATCTTGTCAGGTTCCAAAAGCTGGAGTTGCTTGGCAAATAAACCTCTAAGGCATATGGAATCAATGCCATCTCTCTTTTCTTTTCTTTTTTCTTTTTTTTTTTGAGACAGAGTTTTGCTCTTGTTGCTCAGGATGGAATGCAGTGGCATGGTCTCAGCTCACGGCAACTTCTGCCTCCCGGTTTCAAGTGATTCTCCTGCCTCAGCCTGCCGAGTAGCTGGGATTACAGGCACCTGCCACCATACCTGGCTAATTTCTATATTTTTAGTAGAGACGGGGTTTCACCATGTTGACCAGGCTGATATCAAACTCCTGACCTCAGGTCTCCCAAAGTGCTGGGATTACAGGTGTGAGCCACTGCACCCAGCCAGTCATCTCTTGCTCTGAGAACTCCTTCGAGTTGTTGGTGTAATACTGGATTTCTCTCCATTTAATCCATTTGTTCATCTTTACCCTCAGCTAGTATTCCTCCTTTTCTCCATTTGTCATTTATTTTTACCCAAACGTTTCCACCTTTGCAAGGGACATCAGGTTCAGCCACTGCCCATCTGGATCGCTGGTAGCAATGCTAGTCTAGCGAGTGCCTCCCCTCAGTCCATTCTCATTTATAGAGAATATGGTTACACGAGTTCCAAACTCACGAGCCATTTTTACCACGAGGCAATATAGCTGTATTTATCTTTAACCCCCATTTTGCCAGATGGGATAAAGGCACAATCCACCCCCATCAGGCCCTTAGGGAATTCTCACAACATTTTAAAACATGGTGACTGTTTCTTGCTTAGAAATTATCCCTGCCGAAGCATGGTGGCTCACACCTGTAATCCCAGCACTTTGCGAGGCCGAGGTCAGTGGGTCACCTGAGGTCAGGAGTTTGAGACCATCCTGGCCAACATGGTGAAACCCTGTCTCTACTAAAAATACAAAAATTAGCTGGATGTGGTGGCACAAGCCTATAATCCCAGCTACTCAGGAGGCTGAGGCAGAAGAATCGCTTAAACCCGGGAGGCAGAGGTGCAGTGAGCTGAGATGGTGCCACTACACTCCAGCCTGGGTGACAGAGCGAGACTCAAAAAAAAAAAAAAAGAAATTATCCCTGCTTCCAACACTTGTAATTGGACCCTAGGACCACTGGACCAACAGGTAGGGGAGAAAAAAAATTTTGTTACTGGAAAGGGGTTCCGATCCAGACCCCAAGAGAGGATTCTTGGGCCTCATGCATGAAAGAATTCAAGGTGAGTCCGTAAAGTGAAAGCAAGTTTATTAAGAAAGTAAAGGAATGAAAGAGTCGCTACTCCATAGGCAGAGCAGCCCCAAGGACTACTGGTTGGCTATTTTTATGGTTTTTTCTTGGTTATATGCTAAACAAGGGGTGGATTATTCATGAGATTTTGGGAAAGGGGTGGACGATTTCCAGAACTGAGGGTTTCTCCCTTTTTTAGACCATGTAGCATAACTTACTGATGTTGCCATGGCATTTGTAAATTATCATAGTGCTGGCGGGAGTGTCTTTTAGCATGCTAATGAATTATAATTAGCATATAATGAGCAGTGAGGATGACCCGAGGTCACTTTCATTGGCATCTTGGTTTTGGTGGGTTTTGACTGGTTTCTTTACCGCATGCTGTTTTATCAGCCAGGTCTTTATGACCTGTACCTTGTGCCAACCTCCCACCTTACCCTGTGACCTAGAATGCCTGACCTCCTAGGAATGCAGCCCTGTAGGTCTCAGCCTTATTTTAACCAGCTATTATTCAAGATGGAGTTGCTTTGGTTCAAATGCCTCTAACAATTTGGGCAGCAAAGAAAAAAGTAGTCATTTTACAAATATATTCCTCCCTTGGCACAACTGCATAGTCATACCAGCATCCTCCCCACTTTTCTTCCCACATCAACCAAAAAAACAGAAAATCTAGTGAGGACACCCCTTTGGTCCCACTCCTGCTGAAGGTGAGCGCACACTCTTGAGGGTGGGTAAGCCAGCGCCTTCATGCATCTGTCCCCTCCGTTTTAGGCAACCAGTGTTTCGATTGCCTGTTGTGCTTTCTACCAGCAATGGGGTTCTCTGCCATTGTTGGACATTAAGAGCTCAAGAGTTTGTTTCTTGGTCTGAAGAAATGATGGTCGGCCGTCAAACCCATCTGACATCTTCTGCTCTGTGTTTTTATGGTGCTCTGAGCGAAGCCCACTCCAGAATTAGTGTCTCTTCCTGTCCAGACCCATTTGTAGCCCTCCAGGGCTACCAGCATCAGTCTCAGCTGTCTGCTGTGTTTCAGGACCTTCCCAGAGGGACCGTGTCTCATGGTCATTGGCAGTCTCTGTCTTCTTCCTGGCATTATCTGCCTGACGGAGTGCAAGAGGAACATGTCTAGATTCAGCCCACCTCCACACTCTGCAGCTCCCCGCTAGTTACTCATTTTATGGAACCAGGTGGCCACCTCATGGGAGCACATGGGGATCTCTGCTTGTCAATTCTAGTCAACTTCTGAACCTGGGAGTTCTTCTGAGGGGCATTGACTTGTTCAGCTTTAATGCACCCCTCAAATCTCCACAGGGCCGTGCTCCATGGGGCATCCCTTCAACAGGCCAGGTTTCCCTGGCCCTCTTGCCTGAGTGCATGGCCAGGCCATTGGTCACTGCCTGTGAGTCAGTAAAATCCCAAACACAGGAGCTTCCACCACTATTCAATTCTTCCATCACTGTTAGAAAAACAACACGCAAGGCCGGGTGTGGTGGCTCACGCCTGCAATCCCAGCACTTTGGGAGGCCAAGGTGGGTGGATCACCTGAGGTCAGGAGTTTGAGACCAGCCTGACCAATGTGATGAAACCCTGTCTCTACTAAAAAGACAAAAATTAGCCAGGCGTGGTGGCATGTGCCTGTAATCCCAGCTACTCGCGAGGCTGAGACAGGAGAATCGCTTGAACCCAGCTACTTGGGAGGCAGAGGTTGCAGTGAGCCGAGATTGTACCAACGCACTCCAGCCTGGGCAACAAGAGTGAAAACTCTGTCTCAAAAAAAAAAAAAAAAAAAGAAGAAGAAAAACAGCATGCAAATGCAATTCAGCCCACTGAGGCTGATCAGTTTCTACCTTCTTTGCTCCAAGTAGCAGCCCTCCAGACAGAATATTGTCCATTCACTTTGAAACTGGAAAGCCAGCATTTCTTTGTTGGACACTTGATAGCTGTTCATAGCAACTGTCCAAGTGTTGATAGAACCCAGCAGCACCTCACACAGTTCCAGAATCAGTCCTGGGGTAAAGAGGCTCCCGGCTTGTGAGTATCTCTTGCTTGCATTCCCCAGGTAGCAAAATGCTGTGTAAACCATTTCCATTTTATTGTATTTATTTTTTTGGGATTTTTTTTTTTTTTTTTTTGAGACAAGGTCTTGCTCTGTGGCCCAGGCTAGAGTGCAGTGGCATCATCTCTGGTCACTGCAACCTCTGCTTCCTGGGTTCAAGTGCTTTTCTTGCCTCAGCCTCCCAAGTAACTGGGACTACAGGTGGCCGCCACCACACCTGGCTAATTTGTTGTTGTTGTTTTTGGAAACGGAATCTTGCTCTGTTGCCCAGGCTGGAGTGCAGTGGCTTGATCTCAGCTCACTGCAAGCTCCGCATCCCGGGTTCATACCATTCTCCTGTCTCAGGCTCCTGAGTAGCTGGGACTACAGGCGCCCGCCACCACACCCGGCTAATTTTTTGTATTTTCAGTAGAGATGGGGTTTCACTGTGTTAGCCAGGATGGTCTCAATCTCCTGACCTCATGATCTGCCCGCCTCAGCCTCCCAAAGTGCTGTGATTACAGGCGTAAGCCACTGTGCCTGTCCTAGTTTTTGTATTTTTAGTAGAGACGGGATGTCACTATGTTGGCCAGGCTGATCTTGAAGCCCTGACCTCAGGTGATTGCCTGCCTTGGCCTCCCAAAGTGCTGGTATTACAGGTGTGAGTCATTGTGCGTGGCCAACCGTTTCCATTTTATTATGGAATTCTTCTGGCCTCTATAGGCCCCATTAGAGCATTTCTCTGATTTCACCCAAGACATCTGGGTATTTCAGGTTTCAAGATAATTTTATGTCCTTCTGTGATAGGGGTAGCTTCAGTTAATGTCCCATAACAAGGTAGTAAGTGCCCCTCAAGGGGACATTCCCTAGTCCAAAGTCCAGTAGTTGTTGCAGGGAGGTGCACACAGGCTTTTGCCATAAGCCCCAGTAAATACTCTACAGAGGGTTATCTGGTGGAGAATTTGTCCCTGCCAGCGCTCTAGCTTCTACTCTGCACTGTGTGGGCCTGGGCAATCTTGCTGGTTCCCGTTGAGCATGTCCAGCTCATGTAGCTTGAAGGGCGATTTATATACTTCTGTTTTACAGCAGTAGGAAGGGGAGACATTCCCTAATTAGATACAGTGTTCATTCCCATGATACAGTCAGATAAAAGCAACCACTTCACATGAAGTATGTTCAAATACATAACTGTACATTTTGGCATGAACACATTACTTGATAAGGTCAAGCCTTCACTGGTCTATTTCTTTGTTTATTTTTTTTGAGACAGAGTCTCACTCTGTCACCCAGGCTGGAGTGCAGTGGCGCAATCTTGGCTCACTGCAACCTCTGTCTCCCGGGTTCAAGTGATTCTCCTGTCTCAGCCTCCTGAGTAGCTGGTACTATAGGTGTGTGCCACCACACCTGGCTAATTTTTGTATTTTTAGTAGAGATGGGGTTTCACCACGTTGGCCGGGCTGGTCTCGAACTCCTGACCTCAAGTGATCCTCCTGACCTCAAGTGATCCACTAGCCTCAGCCTTCCAAAGTGCAGGGATTACAGGTATGAGCCCCCCTGCCCAGCCAGGTCTTTCTATTTCTTTGGGCTATTTAGATCTCGAGGGTGTTTAAAGGTCCTGAAACAAAATGTCAAGAGGCTTGTTCCTATTTTCTCCTATTTATTTGTTCAACCTACAAACCCGGAGAGCTTTCCAACTTGGTGGGGAAAATAAACGAGTAATATTTAATTACCTTCATGAAAGAGTAACTTTAAAAAGTTGGCTTACCTTTACTGAGCCTGAGCCGGGTGCACCAAATGCAGCCTCCCATCTGTTCCCAGCCCTAGGAGGTGCAGGTGCTGTCGTCATGCAGGTGAGGAAACCAAGTCCTCCCTGAGACGCCGTTTCCGTAGGGCTATCTTTCCTTTTCCTAGCTGTCACCTCTCATCCCATTCTGCACCGTCTTTGGCCCTGACAAGTGTCAGGGTTGGAAGAGACGAGAGGGCAACTGAGAATATTCATCACAATCTGCCCAGAGTCATGGGCTGAGGACAGGAGAGAGGAGAACCGTGTCCAGACATGTTTCCCTTGCTCTTCTGCAGAGATGGTAATGGCAGTTGAATTTTCACAGTGGCGTGGGTTATCCTTAAGCCAGGGTCAGACCAGGCCCACTGGATTTGGAAAGGGCCCTGGAGGAGGGGTCACAGTGCCTGGGTTCTAGTTCCAGCCCTGCTGGTAAATAGAACATAACTCCAGGCAAATGATTATCCCCTGGGCCTCTGTAGGAGGAGGTAATATCACCTGCTCTGCCAGAGCCCAAAGATTGGGCAGATCAAGTAGGAGAGTGTGTGCCATGCCATGTTGGGAAGCTGGAATGGCAGGGACTCTTGATGGCCAGATAGCTGGCTTAGCCCACTTGGGTGCAGGGGAGCAACCCCCAGAGGGGAGCATCAAAGCCTGTGCGAAGGCTCAAGGGTGGCCTCCTGCGAGGCCAGGCCTGCCCCAGGAGCTGTTGGCTGTAGGGTTTGGTGCGTGGGGCCCTAATTCCCCACTGCTCCTTGTCCACTTTGATTTTATCCTTCGGTTCTGTTCCCCCCTCTACCCCAGAGCACTAGAGCAGTTGCAAGAAAGTGCTGTTGCTCAGTTTTCAGCCTCAGGCTCCACTCTGCTCACCCTCTGTGGCCAGCTTTTCCTATGAAAAGAGCTTTGCGAACAACCTCCGTTCTGTCTCCTCTGTCCCATCACGTCGCAAGGAGGCTGGCTGGCTACTCGCAGGATAAGCCTGCTGCTTCTCGCTTCTGGAGCCCTGCCTCATATCAGCTTCTACGTGGGGCCCTTTTCCTTTTGGCCACTGCTGATGATCCAGTAGAAACCCGCTTGGAGGAGCCAGCTCTGGTTTTCTGGCGTGCGTGTGTGCGTGCGTGTGTGTGCGCGCGTGTGCGTGCGTGTGCGTGACGCTCCGCCAGCTTTTGCCCCTCCTCCTCGGTGGCTCTCTGTTCTGCCGCAGGTGCCCCCTCCCTGAGCTGTTTTTGCTTGGGCTTTTCTCTCTCTCATCGCCTTCCACAGGAACCATGGCTGTGAGGTGGTGAAGGTGGTGTTTTTAATCCACCGGTTCAAGAAGATCGGGTGTTTCCTGACTGTCACCAAAGACGGCATCCTGCAGTTCTGGTCTGAGTCCTTCTCGCTGATCAGCACCTTTAGGGTGAGTGGGGCCCGTACACATGGTACACACATGGGTCATTGGAGAGCCTCTGCCTTAGCACCCCCATGGTGAAGGTGACCTGGAGCCAGGCAGATTCATGGTCTAAGCAGCCTGGACTCGCAGTCACAGCACCTGGGTCCTGTGGGAGCCACACATTTCCCTTCTGCTAAGCGGGATTCCACCTGGATGTCCATTCCATGTGGTGTCTCACAGACCCCTCAAACCCATTAGCCCAAACAGCATGTCCCTTTTGCTATCCCTGCCCACCAGGTTTCCTTCTCTTGCATCCCCATCTCAGTGAATGGCATCGTCACCCCCAAGACTCCTGTGTTAGGGGTCAGCCACTCCCACGCTGTCACTACGTCCTACCAGTTCAGGCCTTTTGCCTGGACCAGGCGGGAAATCATAGTGGTTGTGAGGATGGGCTCTGGAGCCCAACTCCCAGGGTTAGAGTCCTGACTGTACCACCTGCCAGCTCTGTGACCTGGACAAGGTACTATAGATGCCCCATGCCTCAGTTTCCCCATCTGTCAAATGGGGCTAGTTACAGTGCTTCTTCACAGTGCTTTTGGGAACACGCGATGACATAATACACATGTAGTGCTTGGGGCAGGGCAGGGCACACAGCAAGTCCCCGCTGGATATATTGTCTTTGTACTGCCAGCTGCTGGCTGAGAGTAGTAAATGAGAAGACACTCAGGAGAACCCGCTGTGTACTTGGTCACCAGGCCAGTCCAGAATCCTCCAGCAGACGCAGAAAACATTGCTCTCCAGGGCTCTACAGAAAGGTTGATTGAGAACACAGCCCCCAGATGAAGGGCTTTCTGAGCCTGTGTAACTGCAGAGTGATTCACAGTTGCATCAGGGCTCATCCTTTGGGGAAGAAGAGGCCTGGGTGAAACTAAGGTCCGTGGGGGTCCCGTGGCTCTCCTGGGTGCACCAAGCGGGAGTCACGATTACCATCCTGAGGCTGTGGCTTCCATAGCCCTCCACCTTCCCTTTCTGTGTGTGGACTGGGGCAGGATGTGTTGCAGCCAGAGCTCCTGCCTGTGACTGCTACATGGTCACCGAAGCACCTCCAAAGGCTGAAGGGGACAGAGGAAGGCTCTCTGGGAAGGCCCAGCAGACCTGGATTCTTCCTGGAGGGGCTGCTTTGGCAGGAGTAGGCCTCTCAGGACCACACAACCACTGTCATGAAGATGGAAAGACCTTAAGTTGGAGGCGGGGCCTGAGCTCCCCTCAAGAGCTGTGTGATCTTGGGCACAGGTCACTGAAATTCCTTAGGGCTTTTGGTTTCGCTGAACACTGCGGGGCAGGGGTGGGAGTTACCAAGATACGGGTGTGTGTGAGTTAGACCCCAGCCCTGGGCAGGAGAGAGGGGCTCAGGAGGGTTCTTGTCCACTGTCTTCACCACCAGAACCACCTGGGGAGCCTTGGTGCTCTCTGAGTTCTGATGGGACAGGCTCCTCTCTGCCCCTGCCTTCCCTATTCCTTCTGATTATCCATGTAGAGGAATTGGTTTATGCTCCTCCCTGCTCCTTCCTTCCAGCTTTTCAGATCATACTTCTTTCTGCTTTCTTCAGTTCAGAGTCTGTGGTGTCATTCAAAGAGTAAAATACAGCACCACACACGGAGGCTCATGCCTGTAATCCCAGCACTTTGGGAGGCCAAGGCAGGCAGATCACTTGAGGTCAGGAGCTCGAGACCAGCCTGGCCACCATGGTGAAACCCTGTCTCTGCTAAAAATACAAAAATTAGCCAGACATAGTGGCACACACCTGTAATCTCAGCTACTCGGGAGGCTGAGACATGGGAATCGCTTGAACCTGGGAGGCAGAGGTTCCAGTGAGCGGAGATCGCGCCACTGCACTCCAGCCTGGGCGACAGAGCAAGACTCTGTCTCAAAAAAAAAAAAAAAAGAGAGTAAAATACAGATTCCTTAGGTGGCCACACCTACCTCATCTCTGGTTCCTCTCCAGCTCTAAACTGAGTGGGCTGGCCTCCCCCTTCCCCAGGACACAGCAGCTCATTTCTGCTGACCTGACTGTGCTCGTGGCTTTCCCTGCCTGGAGTGCCAGCTCACATTGTCTCTGTGTACATGCTACACGAGTGCAGGAGGCACCGGTGCTGAGCTCCTACTGAGTGCCGGGCACCACCCTCAATGCTTTAATTATTCCATTCATTCCTCGCAACTTTGCAGAACAAATCCTTGGTTCATAAGCCACTTTGACCAGGTGACACCTGCAGATGGAAAACAGGATTCATACCTATGGAGGGGCAGACAGGGGAAGTCAGTCTTCCTTCCCTCAGTTCCTACTTCCTCTCGCTGCAGGCAAATGCTATGACCAGTTTTGGAGTGCTCTTCCATGGCTATCCTCGCTGCATACCCGCCTTTTCTTTTCTTTTCTTTTTTTTTTTTGAGACTGGGTCTTGCTCTGTCACCCAGGCTGGAGTGTAGTGATGCAATCATGGCTCACTGCAACCTTAACCTCCTGGGGTCGAGGGATCTTCCCACCTCAGCCTCCCAAGTAGCTGGGACTACAGGCATGCACCACCATGCCCAGCTAATTTTTTCTTGTTCTTTCTTTTTTTTTTTTTTTGAGACGGAGTTTTGCTCTGTCACCCAGACTGAAGTGCAGTGGTGTGATCTCGGCTCACTGCAGCCTCTGCCTCCCAGGTTCAAGTGATTCTTCTGCCTCAGCCTCCCAAGTAGCTGGGATTACAGGCGAGCACCACCACGCCCAACTAATTTTTGTATTTTTAGTAGAGACGGGGTTTCAACATTGGCCAGGCTGGTCTCGAACTCCTGACCTAGTGATCTGCCCACCCCGGCCTCCCAAAGTGCTGAGATTACAGGTGTGAGCCACTACGCCCAGCCTTTTTTGTTAATTTTGTAGAGATGGGGTCTTCCTATGTTGCCCAGGCTGGTCTTGAACTCCTGGGCTCAAGTGATCCTCCCGCCTTGGCCTCTGAAAGTACTAAGATTACAGGCATGAACCACTGTGCCCTTTTCTTTTTAAATGTGATAATGGAGGCATATTATAATGTTGCTTTTTGCCTTGATTTGTTACTTAATCATATCTCTTGGCAGCTCTTTATTGGCATGTGCACAGCTCCCTTGTTCTTAATGTCTGGGTGGTGTCCATGGTATGGGTTGATATCAGCTGTGCTTTCTAGGTGGCTTCTGGCCTGTTGCTCTAACAGCAGCTACAGCGTCCCCTTTGAGTAGATGCAAACACACTCATAGAAATATCTTGGAAACAGATCCGTGGGTCATGATCTATGCATATTCAAGACTTTGGTTTTTTTTGGGTAGGGGGACAAGGTCTCACTCTTGCCTAGGCTTGAGTGCAGTGATGTGTTCACGACTCACTGCTGCCAAGACTTTTATAGAACTGTGAGACTGCTCCAGAAAGGGGTTGTAAAGAAGGTGTTCTTCAAGCCCGTTTTACAGATGTGGAAACTGAGAGCCAGGGAGGCTAGGGAGTTTATCTGTTTATCCAAGGCCCCCACCACTAGTCTTAGTGGTAGTGCTGGGCTCCCTGCTAGGTCTGTGGTGGCTCTAGGGCCTCGTGTGGCAGGAGAGGTTCACGGGGAGCTGTGCTGGACTGAGTATGCTTCCTAGCCCGCCCATCTCCTCTGCTCTTCCTCTGGCCAGCTTAACCAGACCCAGCAGCTCTACAACCAGCCGATGTGGGTCGTCGACATGGTATGTCTGCACAATATGAACCTCATTGCAGTTGCGTCTACCAAGCAAAAGATAGGTGAGTCCCCCTGGGGGCTCCCCAGCCCTGCTCTCAGCCACTGGGAGCCATGCATTTGTGCCTGGGAGAAGTCTGTTAGCTGAGCAACTGTGAACATAGGAGGATTGCCAGGTGGAGAGGCCTTAGTGCCAAGTAGGCAGGGGGTGGTCTGTGAATGCTCGAATGAATACAGTGATGTTGAACAGACCGAAATTTACAAGCCAGAGGCCATAACTGGTCTATCTCCAGTCCTGATTCTACCTCCTGCCTCTTGCCACTCCTAGTCCAGGCCCCCTTCACTCTCACTTAAATAGCCTCTCCTGGCTAGGTGTGGTGGTTCACTCCTGTAATCCCAGCACTTTGGGAGGCGGATCACCTGAGGTCAGGAGTTCAAGACCAGCCTGGCCAACGTGGTGAAACCCCGTCCCTACCAAAAGTACAAAAAATTAGCCGGGCTTGGTGGTAGGCACCTATAGTCCCAGCTACTCGGGAGGCTGAGGCAGGAGAATGGCGTGAAACCAGGAGGCGGAGCTTGCAGTGAGCTGAGATCCTGCCACTGCCATCCAGCCTGGGTGACAGAGTGAGACTCTGTCTCAAAAACAGAAGAAAACAAAACAGAAAATACAAAAGTTACCTGGGTGTGGTGGCACACGCCTGTAATCCCAGTTACTCAGGAGGCTGAGGCAGGAGAATTGCTTGAACCTGGGAGGTGGAGGTTGCAGTAAGCCGAGATCACACCACTGCACTCCAGCGTGGGCAACAGAGAGAGACTCAGTTAAAAAAAAAAAAAAAAAAAAAAAGCCTCTACTGCATGCTGTGCTTCCCTCATGCCCCCAAAGGCAGGATGTGCATTTACACTACCCTCTGCAGAAAGTCTTCACCCTACCCCAGTGTTCTTAGGATGGAGGCGGGATCCTCGGTCTCTGTGCCCTGCCATCCCTCCTGCCCCTCTCTCTGCCCTGACAGCCTCTGCTTTTCTTTTGGTTCTCATCTTAGAAGTTACTTCCTCCAGGAATCCCTCCCTGACCCTCTATTCCAAGATCCTCTTAAAAAGACCGCGTGAGATTGTACCTCTTCCCTTCAAGGTCCTCCTTTCAGTGTCATCTCACATGTATTAGTGTGCTTCTGTTTAGTGCATGTCTCCTCCTCCAAACTGGAAGCTCCATGAGGTCAGGGACTGCATCTGTTCTGCTCAACTCAGTGTCTCAGTGCCTGGTACCTTCTGGATGCTCGATGACTATTGAATGGATGGATGACGAATGAGGCCTCTGGCTGAGCAGACCCGTAAGGTGGTCAGGAAGAGGAAATTAATACATGAAATGACAGCTGGCAATGCGAGGCTGAATGGGAGGAGAGAGCGTGGCTGTTCTGGAATAAACAGGGACTTTGGAATAAAAAGGACCTGGGTTCAGAGCCTGGTCCCACTGCTCTGTAGATGTCTGCCTTTGAGCAATTACTTGACCTCCCAGTGCCTCACTTTACCCAGAGGTAAAATGGGGCCAATGATACATGACTCGAGGGTGAGTGTGGCTTAGTAGTTAGGTGTGTGAAGCTGCGGGCATAGTGCCTGGCACATAGTGGGCAGTTAATTAACACCGACATCATTATGAGGCTAAATTGTGTGATACAGAGAAAGTGGTCAGCCATCAGCAAGGGCTAGAGTAATCTATCTGTGACCTGCCTGGGCTTTCCATTGCAACACCTGTTTCCTGGGGACCCGGTGCTGTCCCAGACATTCTCACCCTTTATCCTCAGACAACCCTGAAAATTTGGCATTAGAACCCCATTTATTTTTCATTTTTTTGAGACGGTCTCACTCTGTCGCCCAGGCTGGAGTGCAGTGGTGCAATCTCGGCTCACTGCAACCTCTGCCTGCTGGGTTCAAGTGATTCTCCTGCCTCAGCCTCCTGAGTAGCTGGACTAGGGATTCATTTATTTTGGTTGAAAAAAAAATATTGAATTCTGGTTTGATGATGGGCTGGACCTGGTCTGCTGGGCCTGTGTTTGTGGGCTCATCAGGTGTCTGGGTATACAGGCGCACACCACCACACCTGGCTGATTTTTGTATTTTTAGTAGAGACAGGGTTTCACCATGTTGGCCAGGCTGGTCTCCATCTCCTGACCTCAGGTGGTTCACCCGCCTCAGCCTCCCACAGTGCTGGCATTACAGGTGTAAGCCATTGCACCCAGCCTAGAACCCCATTTTAGAGATAATTATGTCATCACTGCTGTCCTGATGGAGCAGCTGTCACCTGCTCGGAGGCACTCAGACAAGGCCAGAAGCAGGGGTGGAAGTGCCACCAGTGTGATCCCTGGCCTTTGTGGCCCCAGCCCAGTCCAGCCAGCGCTCCTCTTGTGACCCACAGCCCTCTGGGGTGGCCGGCCATATAGAGAGGCAGAGGAGGGCGACAGGCTGCCATTCAGATGCAGGAGACAGCACGATGGCGAGGCTGTTGCTCATCAGAGGCTGAAAATGAGGCTTGATCTGTTGGAAGGAGTCAGATTTTTTTTTTTTTTTTTAATTGAGACAGGGTCTTGCTCTGTCACCCAGGCTTTAGTGCAGTGGTACAATCACTGCTCACTGCAGTTTCAAACTCCTGGGCTTAAGCAATCCTCTTGCCTTAGCCTCCCTGAGTGCTGGGATCACAGGTGTGAGCCACCACACCCAGCCTGGGATTTTATTCCAGCTGCAGTTGGAAGCCTTTAGGGGTTTTCAGTGGGGTTCCCAGTGGGTGAGTTTACTCTGTAAATAGCTGTCTGTGGTTACCATGGGGGAAAAAGGGCTGAAGGGGCCAGAGATTCCTTGGGAGAGCAATGAGGCTGCTCACCGTGACTGAAGACCTCTCAGGCACGGCTGTGGGCTTCATGTGGCCTTCTGTCTTTCCCCCAGATTTCTTTGATATTAGTGACCGCAAATGTGTCCCGGCCTTCACCTTTATTGATCTGGACAGCTGTGCCCTGGTCATGGACTACTGGTGAGTCTCCACTGGGTGTTCCCCACATGAACCAGGAGGCCCAGGCCTCCTGCAGCAGCCACATCACTGACTAGGGTTGGGGCCCCCAGAAAGCCTCCTTGGAAAGATCTGGAAAGATCTCCCCTCTGGCTCCAAGGCCCCTGTGTCTTCCTCCCTCCAGGCTGCTTCTCTCTCAGAGTCAACTCTCATGGTCACTCAGAGAGCTTGGAGTCATTGTCACTTCCCCACTCAAGACAGCCATCAAATCCCAGCAGAGGCTTGTCTGGCTGTGGCTGAGGAGTCCGGGGACATCACAGTCTATTGGGAGGGGTGACTTAACAAAGGGCAGCTGGAGAACTAGGGATTCATTTATTTTGGTTGAAAAAAAAAATTGAATTCTGGTTCAGTGATGGGCTGGACCTGGTCTGCCTGTGTTTGTTGGCTCCTCAGGTGTCTGGGCAAGGCCAGAAAGTCTTGTTGGAACTGCCCTTGCTTCCAAGGAGAAGGGAGGCTATTGGGGGGCAAGGGAGGGAGTGGAGGCTCCACAACCTCTTTTTTTTTTTCTTTTTTTTTTTGACTCAGAGTCTTGCTCTGTCTCCCATGCTGGAGTGCAGTGGCACCATCTCAGCTCACTACAGCCTCTACCTCCCGAGTAGCTGGGATTGCAGGTGCCTGCCACCATGTTTGGCTAATTTTTGTATTTTTAGTAGAGATGAGGTTTCACCATGTTGGCCAGGCTGGTCTCGAACTTCTGACCTCAGGTGATTAAGCCGCCTTGGCCTCCCAGAGTGCTGAGATTACAGGTGTGAGCCACCGCGCCCGGCCCACACAGCCTCTTCTCTCCATCTTTCTGCAGGTCTGACTATCACAGAGGTGTATTCTGCTATGGGGACGCCAAAGGCAATGTCATTGTCTTCACCTCCGAAAACGTGACCAGTGGGCTGTTCAACCCCCGTATTCTCCCCAGGGCCTCCAAGTGGGGTAGTTAAGATGCTGGGGAAGGGGGCGGAGGCCTGGGCATGGCCTAGACGTGGGTGCTGAGCCCATCCTGGTCCCTGAGCCCCCCACTCCCTGCTTCTGCTCTGGAGCCTCTGGGAAGGCATCTGCTTCTGAGCGCAGGATGCATGCAGCTCAGCACAAAGGGAGAGGCGATGGGGGACAGCAGAAGACCACGGGGGCTGGGGAGGGGTCGGCCTCTCTGAGGATGGGAGGCTGTGCGGGTGTGGTCTGGGGGTGCAGGACGCTTCTCACCCCAGCACAATGCCAGTGGTGGGACCCTGGGGAAGTCCCTCATCCACTCTGATCCTGGTTGACAGCGCTGATGCTAACTTCCTCAGATGGTGGTGAGGAGGCAGGTGCTCTCCTTGGCTCTAGTGCTGCCTTTGGTGGGCAGGGGCTGTCCTGGATGTGGGCTCTGTGGAGCCTGGGCACTGGCTGGCTGGCGTGGGTGAGTGGGCACAGCTGCTAGAGTCTAGAGCACCCCTTGCTGAGCGCTTTGCGTGCATCACCTCCCATAGCTGCCCCTACTGTCAGGAGGGAGGAGCCGCTGCTGCAGCCCATAATAAGAGGTAGAAAGGGTGAGGTCACCTGCACACACCCCTGCCCGGTGAGCGGGGGCTAAGATCTGAAGTCCGGCCGCCTGCCTTGGAGTCTGTGCTTTTAGCCTTTTGCTGGACTGCATCCCACACTGATTAAACGCAGGAGGAAGTCACTGGAGCTGTTCTGCCCAGGTCGCTAGGTCCTCAGAGGACACGGCTCAGGGCTGCCTAGGAAACTCATCTGAACTGGAGCGCCTCTAGAATCCAGCCTTGCATGCACAGTGCTGCCTCTCCAGGTTGCCTCACATCCACCAGGAGGCCCAGGCCACCAGGGACCCCATACAGGGACACTGACCCCTCTTCCAGCCAGAGTTACTAAGCAGGACACGCCAGGGGTTCCCAGGCCTTGGTAACAGGCCCCTGGCAGGCTTGTTGGGGCAGTGTCCAGATCCTGTCCTGGACACAGCAGTGGACTGGCACCCTGCTTGCCTCATCGGCCTCGGGGGCCTGCCCTGCCCTGAGCCGCCCACTCAGCTGCTTGAGCCTAGTCACTCTGTACTACCCTGGGAACTGGCATGGGAGGTTGTGGTGGTCTTTGAGCCACATGGTGAATGGGATATCGAGGGAGGCAGATGACACTGGAATGTTAGGCAGGAGTCCTTCCATGCCAACTTCTGATTGAAGGCTGGGGACAAACATGAAGATGAGGTGGGCCCAGTATGTGAACTTGGGAGGAGATGGACAGACCCAGGTATGCACCCCAGCTCTGTGTGACCTGGAGCCAATTGCTTAACCTCTCTGTGCCTCAGTTCCCTTATTCAAATAGGGATGGCCCTACTTCATTGATAGCTTTGGTATAAGAAACGTGGAACGTTAGGCACCTAGTAAGTGCACAGTGACTATGACTTCTTCCCTGCCCTCCTTCACAGCCCTAGTAGGAGAGACAGGCAGGTAAACTGATGATTAAACCACAGCGCATCATAAAGCTGACTCCTGCCTGTGCCCATGCACGACCAGCCCCACTCTGGCAGTCTTGGGCAACTTTCCACCCCTCCCTGGGACTTACTTTGCAAGCTTCCTCCTGCCCTTGCAAGATGAGGCTGGTGACTTTGCAGCGGCACAATGCTTGGCATGAGCCCCCAGATCCATCCTTGCTGCCTCTTCCCTCCTCCATCCCTGGGAGGGAACCTGAGCCTAGACTGCTCCAGCATTTGCGACCTGCCTCCTTAAACTACTCTGACAGAGGACCCATGTTTGTCCCTAACAGTGCTGGCTCCACTCGTCTGTGTCAGATTGGCTTTGCTTTCCCTGAGGATCCATCAACTGCTGGCCTTGAATGGTTTCAGCGGCCGGGAGATGCTAAGCCCCATGAGGGCTGCACCTGGCATGTCTGAATTCCTCTAGACAGGCTTGTTTTATTTAAGTGTGTGTGTGTTTTTTTTGTTTTTGTTTTTTTTTAAATTTTGAGACAAGGTCATACTCTGTTGCTGGAGTGTAGTGATATGATCATAGCTCACTACAGCTTTAATCTCTTGGGCTCAAGTGATCCTCCCACCTCAGCCTCCCAAATAGCTGGGACCACAAGCACGCCACCACCACTTCTGGCTAATTTTTAATTTTTTTGATTTTTTTGTAGAGATGGGTTCTCACTGTGTTGTCCAGGCTGTTTTTTGTTTTGTTTTGTTTTGTTTTTTTGCAGAGTCTTGCTCTGTCGCCCAGGCTGGAGTGCAATGATGCGATCTCGGCTCACTGCCACCTTCACCTTTCGGGTTCAAGTGATTCTCTCACCTCAGCCTCCTGAGTAGCTGGGATTACAGGTGCATGCCACCATGCCCAGCTAATTTTTGTATTTTTGTAGAGACAGGGTTTCACTATGCTGGCCAGGCTGGTGTCTTAACTCCTGGCCTCAAGTGACCTTCCCACCTTGGCCTCCTAAAGGGCTGGGATTACAAGTGTGAGCCACTGCGCTTGGCCCAGACATGCTTATTTTATGATGCATACCTGGAACTTCTACTTTTTGGAACCTGTGCTTTCTGGACAAGGAGTGCGTGTAGTTTGAGGCATGATGGCGAACTCCCAAGTGATGACTTGTCAGAATAAAAAGAGCCTAGAGTCTCAATTCCTTTTCCACTCCAGCAAAGATGGAGCTCCTTAATAAAGAATCAGCTTGTTTAGATTGCAGCACCTAGGAAGCATGAGGTGCCCTGAAGTCTGGTTCTAGTTCTGCCATGCACTGGCAGGGGTACTCTAGGAGGCAGCATTGATCTGCCTGAGTCTTTTTCCTGGGGCGGGGGCACTCCGCTGAGCTCACCAGGACACAGTGAGGCGCCAGTGAGGGTTTGGGTGGAAAAGCCTTTTGAGAAGCACTGGAGTTGCAAGCCAACTTAAGACGTTTTTGAGGCTTTGCTTGCCGAGCAAAGGGGGAAAGCTGCTGATGTGGACCTTGATTTTTTCCCCTGTCAGATCACTGGATCAAAGTTTCCATGCGGAAACTCTTAAATGAGAAGTCTTCTTTGTATAGAAGCTACCGGCTGAAGGTGAGTTGTTTCTTTCCTTGGCCTGTTACAATGGTAATTATCTGTACACACACACCACTCAAAATAAATACAAAAAGTAGATTTACTCCCTGGGTTCAGTCTTAGCCCTTGGGGTTTGGTCTCTGGAAACAGATTGTGGCAGCTGTTGGATCCTGCCAGCTGCATCTGCAGACCACATCTCAGTGTGGCCATGCCCCTCTCACCACCGCCATGGCTAAGCCCTGGTCCTGGCCAACACTGCCTCGCTCCTGGATGGCTGCAGTGGCCTCTAGCTGGGTTCCCCACTTCCTTTCTTCATGCAGCACTGTCTCCATTCAGGGCCAGAGGAATGATGAGTTAGAAATACAGTTGAGTCACCCCGGTAGCTTCTCATCACATTTGGAACATAATCTCAAGTCCTTACCACGGCTGTCAGGACATGAGGTGATCTGGCCCCTGCTTGCAAGCTCTGGGCTTGTTTTCAACCTTCTTTCTCCCCATCTGCTCTCCTGCAGAGGCACAGGCTCCTCTGCTGTTCCCTGAATGCGCTCAGCCCCTTCCCGCCTCTGTGCCTCGGCATGTGCTGCGCCTTCAGGCTGCAGGCCTCTCCCCGAAGGTACCTGTATTCCCCCTATCTACTTCCTGTGGTCCCAACCAGCCATCCTAGGACAGCCCTGTGCCCGCCTCTGCTTTCATCCCTTCACCGCAGTGTTTCCCAGCTCCCAGCTTTGTGTGGTCCGACCATTGATTCCTCATGCTGTCACCTTCACGAGATCGATGGCTCCTCAAGGGCAGGGACTTTGTGCTCTCGGTTGTCTCCAGTGCCTAAAATAGTACCCTACACTTGGTGGGCTCCCAATACGTTTGCTGCACAAATGAATGAATGAATGACGCACTCCGGGCGGTCTGGGTGGTCCAACAGGCCTGCACTTTTTTTTTTTTTTTTTTGCCATGGCTAAGCCCTGGTCCTGGCCAACACTGCCTCCGCTCCTGGATGGCTTGCAGTGGGCCTCTACAGCTGGTTCCCCACTTCCTTTCTTCATGCAGCACTGTCTCCATCAGGCCAGAGGAATGATGAGTTAGAAATACAGTTGAGTCACCCCGGTAGCTTCTCTCATCACATTTGAACATAATCTCAAGTCCTTACCACGGCTGTCAGGACATGAGGTGATCTGGCCCTGCTTGCAAGCTCTGGCTTGTTTTCAACCTCTTCTCCCCATCTGCTCTCCTTGCAGAGCACAGGCTCCTCTGCTGTTCCCCTGAATGCGCTCAGCCCTTCCCGCCTCTGTGCCTCCGGCATGTGCTGCGCCTTCAGGCTGCAGGCCTCTCCCCGAAGGTACCTGTATTCCCCCTATCTACTTCCTGTGGTCCCAACCAGCCATCCTAGGACAGCCCTGTGCCCGCCTCTGCTTTCATCCCTTCACCGCAGTGTTTCCCAGCTCCCATGCTTGTGTGTCCGACCATTGATTCCTCATGCTGTCACCTTCACGAGATCGATGGCTCCTCCGAGGCAG